AATATTTTCTGTATAGAAAATACTTAATATTTTCTGTATAGAAAATACTTAATATTTTCTGTATAGAAAATACTTAATATTTTCTGTATAGAAAATACTTAATATTTTCTGTATAGAAAATACTTAATATTTTCTGTATAGAAAATACTTAATATTTTCTGTATAGAAAATACTTAATATTTTCTGTATAGAAAATACTTAATATTTTCTGTATAGAAAATATTATATTTTCTGTATAGAAAATATTTGATATTTTCTGTATAGAAAATATTTGATATTTTCTGTATAGAAAATATTTGATATTTTCTGTATAGAAAATATTTGATATTTTCTGTATAGAAAATATTTGATATTTTCTGTATAGAAAATATTTGATATTTTCTGTATAGAAAATATTTGATATTTTCTGTATAGAAAATATTTGATATTTTCTGTATAGAAAATATTTGATATTTTCTGTATAGAAAATATTTGATATTTTCTGTATAGAAAATATTTGATATTTTCTGTATAGAAAATATTTGATATTTTCTGTATAGAAAATATTTGATATTTTCTGTATAGAAAATATTTGATATTTTCTGTATAGAAAATATTTGATATTTTCTGTATAGAAAATATTTGATATTTTCTGTATAGAAAATATTTGATATTTTCTGTATAGAAAATATTTGATATTTTCTGTATAGAAAATACTTAATGTTTTCTGTATAGAAAATACTTAATGTTTTCTGTATAGAAAATACTTAATGTTTTCTGTATAGAAAATACTTAATGTTTTCTGTATAGAAAATACTTAATGTTTTCTGTATAGAAAATACTTAATGTTTTCTGTATAGAAAATACTTAATGTTTTCTGTATAGAAAATACTTAATATTTTCTGTATAGAAAATATTTGATATTTTCTGTATAGAAAATATTTGATATTTTCTGTATAGAAAATATTTGATATTTTCTGTATAGAAAATATTTGATATTTTCTGTATAGAAAATATTTGATATTTTCTGTATAGAAAATATTTGATATTTTCTGTATAGAAAATATTTGATATTTTCTGTATAGAAAATATTTGATATTTTCTGTATAGAAAATACTTAATGTTTTCTGTATTGAAAATACTTAATGTTTTTTGTATAGAAAATACTTAATGTTTTCTGTATAGAAAATACTTAATGTTTTCTGTATAGAAAATACTTAATATTTTCTGTATGGAAAATACTTAATATTTTCTGTATAGAAAACACTTAATATTTTCTGTATAGAAAATACTTAATATTTTCTGTATAGAAAATACTTAATATTTTCTGTATAGAAAATACTTAATATTTTCTGTATAGAAAATTTTCGATATTTTCTGTCTAGAAAATACTTAATATTTTCTGTATAGAAAATTTTCGATATTTTCTGTATAGAAAATTTTCGATATTTTCTGTATAGAAAATTTTCGATATTTTCTGTATAGAAAATTTTCGATATATAAAATTTTCGATATTTTCTGTATAGAAAATTTTCGATATTTTCTGTATAGAAAATTTTCGATATTTTCTGTATAGAAAATTTTCGATATTTTCTGTATAGAAAATTTTCGATATTTTCTGTATAGAAAATTTTCGATATTTTCTGTATAGAAAATTTTCGATATTTTCTGTATAGAAAATTTTCTATATTTTCTGTATAGAAAATTTTCGATATTTTCTGTATAGAATTTTTCGATATTTTCTGTATAGAAAATTTTTGATATTTTCTGTATAGAAAATTTTCGATATTTTCTGTATAGAAAATTTTCGATATTTTCTGTATAGAAAATTTTCGATATTTTCTGTATAGAAAATTTTCGATATTTTCTGTATAGAAAATTTTCGATATTTTCTGTATAGAAAATTTTCGATATTTTCTGTATAGAAAATTTTCGATATTTTCTGTATAGAAAATTTTCGATATTTTCTGTATAGAAAATTTTCGATATTTTTCTGTATAGAAAATTTTCGATATTTTCTGTACAGAAAATTTTCGATATTTTCTGTATAGAAAATTTTCGATATTTTCTGTATAGAAAATTTTCGATATTTTCTGTATGGAAAATTTTCGATATTTTCTGTATAGAAAATTTTCGATATTTTCTGTATAGAAAATTTTCGATATTTTCTGTATAGAAAATTTTCGATATTTTCTGTATAGAAAATTTTCGATATTTTCTGTATAGAAAATTTTCGATATTTTCTGTATAGAAAATTTTCGATATTTTCTGTAAAGAAAATTTTCGATATTTTCTGTAAAGAAAATTTTCGATATTTTCTGTAAAGAAAATTTTCGATATTTTCTGTAAAGAAAATTTTCGATATTTTCTGTATAGAAAATTTTCGATATTTTCTGTATAGAAAATTTTCGACATTTTCTGTATAGAAAATTTTCGACATTTTCTGTATAGAAAATTTTCGACATTTTCTGTATAGAAAATTTTCGACATTTTCTGTATAGAAAATTTTCGACATTTTCTGTATAGAAAATTTTCGACATTACATTTTCTGTATAGAAAATTTTCGACATTTTCTGTATAGAAAATTTTCGACATTTTCTGTATAGAAAATTTTCGACATTTTCTGTATAGAAAATTTTCGACATTTTCTGTATAGAAAATTTTCGACATTTTCTGTATAGAAAATTTTCGACATTTTCTGTATAGAAAATTTTCGACATTTTCTGTATAGAAAATTTTCGACATTTTCTGTATAGAAAATTTTCGACATTTTCTGTATAGAAAATTTTCGACAATTTCTGTATAGAAAATTTTCGACAATTTCTGTATAGAAAATTTTCGACAATTTCTGTATAGAAAATTTTCGATATTTCTGTATAGAAAATTTTCGATATTTTCTGTATAGAAAATTTTCGATATTTTCTGTATAGAAAATTTTCGATATTTTCTGTATAGAAAATTTTCGATATTTTCTGTATAGAAAATTTTCGATATTTTCTGTATAGAAAATTTTCGATATTTTCTGTATAGAAAATTTTCGATATTTTCTGTATAGAAAATTTTCGATATTTTCTGTATAGAAAATTTTCGATATTTTCTGTATAGAAAATTTTCGATATTTTCTGTATAGAAAATTTTCGATATTTTCTGTATAGAAAATTTTCGATATTTTCTGTATAGAAAATTTTCGATATTTTCTGTATAGAAAATTTTCGACATTTTCTGTATAGAAATTTTCGACATTTTCTGTATAGAAATTTTTCGACATTTTCTGTATAGAAATTTTTCGACATTTTCTGTATAGAAATTTTTCGACATTTTCTGTATAGAAATTTTCGACATTTTCTGTATAGAAAATTTTCGACATTTTCTGTATAGAAAATTTTCGACATTTTCTGTATAGAAAATTTTCGACATTTTCTGTATAGAAAATTTTCGACATTTTCTGTATAGAAAATTTTCGACATTTTCTGTATAGAAAATTTTCGACATTTTCTGTATAGAAAATTTTCGACATTTTCTGTATAGAAAATTTTCGACATTTTCTGTATAGAAAATTTACGATATTTTCTGTATAGAAAATTTTCGATATTTTCTGTATAGAAAATTTTCGATATTTTCTGTATAGAAAATTTTCGATATTTTCTGTATAGAAAATTTTCGATATTTTCTGTATAGAAAATTTTCGATATTTTCTTATAGAAAATTTTCGATATTTTCTGTATAGAAAATTTTCGATATTTTCTGTATAGAAAATTTTCGATATTTTCTGTATAGAAAATTTTCGATATTTTCTGTATAGAAAATTTTCGATATTTTCTGTATAGAAAATTTTTGATATTTTCTGCATAGAAAATTTTCGATATTTTCTGTATAGAAAATTTTTGATATTTTCTGTATAGAAAATTTTCGATATTTTCTGTATAGAAAATTTTCGATATTTTCTGTATAGAAAATTTTCGATATTTTCTGTATAGAAAATTTTCGATATTTTCTGTATAGAAAATTTTCGATATTTTCTGTATAGAAAATTTTTGATATTTTCTGCATAGAAAATTTTTGATATTTTCTGTATAGAAAATTTTTGATATTTTCTGTATAGAAAATTTTTGATATTTTCTGTATAGAAAATTTTTGATATTTTCTGTATAGAAAATTTTTGATATTTTCTGTATAGAAAATTTTTGATATTTTCTGTATAGAAAATTTTTGATATTTTCTGTATAGAAAATTTTTGATATTTTCTGTATAGAAAATTTTTGATATTTTCTGTATAGAAAATTTTTGATATTTTCTGTATAGAAAATTTTTGATATTTTGATATTTTCTGTATAGAAAATTTTTTATATTTTCTGTATAGATAGTTTTCGATATTTTCTGTATAGAAAATATTTGTTAATTTCTGTATAGAAAATTTTGGTTAATTTCTGTATAGAAAATGTTTAATAATTTCTGTATAGATTAAATAATGTTTATTATTCCCGTATGTATATTTACTATAGAGATCATAATTTTAATTGTAGTACATTTGGCATTGTAAGTAAAAGTCAAAATTGTTTTTGAAATGGAAAATTATGCTGCAATTTTCACGTATTTAAATATTTACAAATCACTTGAAAAGCAATTTTTTGAAATGTTTTCTATATTGCAAAAAAAATAGAGTTTATTTAAACATTTTAGAAACTTGAATCAATCTAGCATGCCTTTTTTTCATAAAATATTTAAAATTAAATTTATTTCTATAGAAAAATATATAAAATTAATAATTTTTTTAATATATTTTGTGAGCTCAAAGTAAGTATTTTTTATTTAGTAATTTGAGAATGTATTTTTTTAACATTAATAAGCCATCCAGTAATATTTTGCAATTAACTTATTAATTAATTATTAAAGTCTCTAGAACAACCTGTAAAAGTGTAGCTGTGTCCTGACTTCTGTAGACCAGTGTATTATATTTATATAACAAATATGCAAAGAATATGTTGGATTATTGTATTTTAATTTAATTCAATTTCATTTAGGCTTATCTATTAAATATACCATCGTGGGACTGGAAACAGGGTGATGATGTCATCTGTTTGGCTGAGTTAAAATTGGGTTTTATCGCACAAAGTTGTTTAGCTCCTGGATTCTCTACAATGATGGCGAATCTGTTTGCTATGCGTTCATTTAAAACCGTAAGTGTTTTTAAATTTTTATAAATTTACTATTTTTGTGAAATTCTATATGTTATAACGTCAAACTTTAAAGAGATGAAATGAAGCAGTAAGAACAAATTAAAGAAACGAAAACTAAAGGTCTAGAAGATATTGTTAAAAAGAATACCTCTTCAGTTAAAAAAACATATAAAAGAAATGGCTTAAAGTATAATTAATAAAAATTCAATAAATTAATGTTAAAATTAAGTTTTTTTGTTATTGTTGTATAAAATTTATTTAAAACTTCTTATACTATTACTACTACAACTACTATTCCATGATGTAATATTATGATTGATTTCAAATAGTCGCCAGACATGCAGTCTTGGACAAATGATTATCTACGTGGTACAGGCATGGAAATGTACACTGAAACCTTGAGTCCTACATTTATTGGAATACCATTTGCTCAGGCCACTGAGTAAGTTTAAACATCCAGGATGTTTCTCTTTTTTTTTTGTTTTTGTTTTTTCTTCTATATAGAAAAAAATTGTTCAAACAGAATTACACGTTTCTATTTTATGAAAAAAAAATTAAAAACTAAATCTATTTCTGTGAAAATACTCGTATTAAATATGTTGATAAAATTAATAATAATAATAAAGTATTTGAATATTGTACACATAGTTTTTAAACACTACATGAACACACACACGATTAAATTTGTTTTTTAGTTTTTCTTTCACATTTTATGTTTGTATTTATTATGATTTTGTAAATTTAATTAATTGGTTTATAATTAAATTAAGTTGTGTTTTTGTCTACACCAAATTATGGCTACTTTTTATGATTATGATGATTTTCCAAACTACAATTTTTCTTTATTAGTTTCTTAAGAAATATGTTTGTCTTTAGTTAAGTTTTAAGTTTGTAAAAATTTCTTTTAAATTAGTTTTTTTCTTTTAAACATTTAAAACAATTTGTATTTATATATCTTTTTTTGCCAACAACAAAGAAAAATTATTAAATAAGAACGAAAACTGATCGATCTATTTTTGTCTGTATTTGTTTCTTTTATAAATGTTAAACCAAAATTGATTGCCTTCGATGTTGTGAAATCAGCTTTTTGTTATATTGCTCCAAAATTCTTATTAATGTATTTGGTTATATATGATTTTTATGTTTCTAATGATTTGTTTAATTCTATCATACAAAACTAACTACTTACTACTTACTTACTTATTTACTTAACAAAAATTCATTTATAATTTACATTGATATCGTTAACTATACGTATTACATTGTTAATTAATTGTACATAATGTTGTTGTAGTAATGAACATTTGTCTGGTTAATGGAATTAAATGTTTAATAATTTGATGTCCCAAAAAGAACACGTTTCTGCCTAAAATTAATAAATTTTTTTGTTTAGATCGGTTCTAGTTCAGTTCTAGTTCAGTTTCTAGTTCAGTTCTAGTTCAGTTTCTAGTTCAGTTTCTAGTTCAGTTCTAGTTCAGTTCTAGTTCATGTTCTAGTTCAGTTCTAGTTCAGTTCTAGTTCAGTTCTAGTTCAGTTTCTAGTTCAGTTCTAGTTCAGTTCTAGTTCTTTCTAGTTCAGTTCTAGTTCAGTTCTAGTTCAGTTCTAGTTCAGTTCTAGTTCAGTTCTAGTTCAGTTCTAGTTCGTCTAGTTCAGTTCTAGTTCAGTTCTAGTTCAGTTCTAGTTCGTTCTAGTTCAGTTCTATTCAGTTCTATTCAGTTCTAGTTCAGTTCTAGTTCAGTTCTAGTTCAGTTCTAGTTCAGTTCTATTCAGTTCTAGTTCAGTTCTAGTTCAGTTCTAGTTCAGTTCTATTTCAGTTCTAGTTCAGTTCTAGTTCAGTTCTAGTTCAGTTCTAGTTCAGTTCTAGTTCAGTTCTAGTTCAGTTCTAGTTCAGTTCTAGTTCAGTTCTAGTTCAGTTCTAGTTCAGTTCTAGTTCAGTTCAGTTCAGTTCTAGTTCAGTTCTAGTTCAGTTCTAGTTCAGTTCTAGTTCAGTTCTAGTTCAGTTCTAGTTCAGTTCTAGTTCGTTCAGTTCTAGTTCAGTTCTAGTTCAGTTCTAGTTCAGTTCTAGTTCAGTTCTAGTTCAGTTCTAGTTCAGTTCTAGTTCAGTTCTAGTTCAGTTCTAGTTCAGTTCTAGTTCAGTTCTAGTTCAGTTCTAGTTCAGTCTAGTTCAGTTCTAGTTCAGTTCTAGTTCAGTTCTAGTTCAGTTCTAGTTCAGTTCTAGTTCAGTTCTAGTTCAGTTCTAGTTCAGTTCTAGTTCAGTTCTAGTTCAGTTCTAGTTCAGTTCTAGTTCAGTTCTAGTTCAGTTCTAGTTCAGTTCTAGTTCAGTTCTAGTTCAGTTCTAGTTCAGTTCTAGTTCAGTTCTAGTTCAGTTCTAGTTCAGTTCTAGTTCAGTTCTAGTTCAGTTCTAGTTCAGTTCTAGTTCAGTTCTAGTTCAGTTCTAGTTCAGTTCTAGTTCAGTTCTAGTTCAGTTCTAGTTCAGTTCTAGTTAGTTCTAGTTCAGTTCTAGTTCAGTTCTAGTTCAGTTCTAGTTCAGTTCTAGTTTCAGTTCTAGTTCAGTTCTAGTTCAGTTCTAGTTCAGTTCTAGTTCATTCTGTTCAGTTCTAGTTCAGTTCTAGTTCAGTTCTAGTTTCAGTTCTAGTTCAGTTCTAGTTCAGTTCTAGTTCAGTTCTAGTTCAGTTTCTAGTTCAGTTCTAGTTCCGTTCTAGTTCAGTTCTAGTTCAGTTCTAGTTCAGTTCTAGTTCAGTTTCTAGTTCAGTTCTAGTTCAGTTCTAGTTCAGTTCTAGTTCAGTTCTAGTTCAGTTCTAGTTCAGTTCTAGTTCAGTTCTAGTTCAGTTCTAGTTCAGTTCTAGTTCAGTATCTAGTTCAGTTCTTGTTCAGTTCTAGTTCAGTTCTAGTTCAGTTCTAGTTCAGTTCTAGTTTCAGTTCTAGTTCAGTTCTAGTTCAGTTCTAGTTCAGTTCTAGTTCAGTTCTAGTTCAGTTCTAGTTCAGTTCTAGTTCAGTTCTAGTTCAGTTCTAGTTCAGTTCTAGTTAAGTTCTAGTTCAGTTCTAGTTCAGTTCTAGTTCAGTTCTAGTTCAGTTCTAGTTCAGTTCTAGTTCAGTTCTAGTTCAGTTCTAGTTCAGTTCTAGTTCAGTTCTAGTTCAGTTCTAGTTCAGTTCTAGTTCAGTTCTAGTTCGTCTATTCAGTCTAGTTTCAGTTCTAGTTCAGTTCTAGTTCAGTTCTAGTTCAGTTCTAGTTCAGTTCTAGTTCAGTTCTAGTTCAGTTCTAGTTCAGTTCTAGTTCAGTTCTAGTTCAGTTCTAGTTCAGTTCTAGTTCAGTTCTAGTTCAGTTCTAGTTCAGTTCTAGTTCAGTTCTAGTTCAGTTCTAGTTCAGTTCTAGTTCAGTTCTAGTTCAGTTCTAGTTCAGTTCTAGTTCAGTTCTAGTTCAGTTCTAGTTCAGTTCTAGTTCAGTTCTAGTTCAGTTTCTAGTTCAGTTCTAGTTCAGTTCTAGTTCAGTTCTAGTTCAGTTCTAGTTCAGTTCTAGTTCAGTTCTAGTTCAGTTCTAGTTCAGTTCTAGTTCAGTTCTAGTTCAGTTCTAGTTCAGTTCTAGTTCAGTTCTAGTTCAGTTCTAGTTCAGTTCTAGTTCAGTTCTAGTTCAGTTCTAGTTCAGTTCTAGTTCAGTTCTAGTTCAGTTCTAGTCAGTTCTAGTTCAGTTATAGTTCAGTTCCTAGTTCAGTTCTAGTTCAGTTCTAGTTCAGTTCTAGTTCAGTTCTAGTTCAGTTCTAGTTCAGTTCTAGTTCAGTTCTAGTTCAGTTCTAGTTCAGTTCTAGTTCAGTTCTAGTTCAGTTCTAGTTCAGTCTAGTTCAGTTCTAGTTCAGTTCTAGTTCAGTTCTAGTTCAGTTCTAGTTCAGTTCTAGTTCAGTTCTAGTTCAGTTCTAGTTCAGTTCTAGTTCAGTTCTAGTTCAGTTCTAGTTCAGTTCTAGTTCAGTTCTAGTTCAGTTCTAGTTCAGTTCTAGTTCAGTTCTAGTTCAGTTCTAGTTCAGTTCTATTCAGTTCTAGTTCAGTTCTAGTTCAGTTCTAGTTCATTCTAGTTCAGTTCTAGTTCAGTTCTAGTTCAGTTTCGTAGTTCTTCAGTTCTAGTTCAGTTCTAGTTCAGTTCTAGTTCAGTTCTAGTTCAGTTCTAGTTCAGTTCTAGTTAGTTCAGTTCTAGTTCAGTTCTAGTTCAGTTCTAGTTCAGTCTAGTTCAGTTCTAGTTCAGTTCTAGTTCAGTTCTAGTTCAGTTCTAGTTCAGTTCTAGTTCAGTTCTAGTTCAGTTCTAGTTCAGTTCTAGTTCAGTTCTAGTTCAGTTCTAGTTCAGTTCTAGTTCAGTTCTAGTTCAGTTCTAGTTCAGTTCTAGTTCAGTTCTAGTTCAGTTCTAGTTCAGTTCTAGTTCAGTTCTAGTTCAGTTCTAGTTCAGTTCTAGTTCAGTTCTAGTTCAGTTCTAGTTCAGTTCTAGTTCAGTTCTAGTTCAGTTCTAGTTTCAGTTCTAGTTCAGTTCTAGTTCAGTTCTAGTTCAGTTCTAGTTCAGTTCTAGTTCAGTTCTAGTTCAGTTCTAGTTCAGTTCTAGTTCAGTTCTAGTTCAGTTCTAGTTCAGTTCTAGTTCAGTTCTAGTTCAGTTCTAGTTCAGTTCTAGTTCAGTTCTAGTTCAGTTCTAGTTCAGTTCTAGTTCAGTTTCAGTTCTAGTTCAGTTCTAGTTCCGTTCTAGTTCAGTTCTAGTTCAGTTCTAGTTCAGTTCTAGTTCATTTCTAGTTCAGTTCTAGTTCAGTTCTAGTTCAGTTCTAGTTCAGTTCTAGTTCAGTTCTAGTTCAGTTCTAGTTCAGTTCTAGTTCAGTTCTAGTTCAGTTCTAGTTCAGTTCTAGTTCAGTTCTAGTTCAGTTCTAGTTTCAGTTCTAGTTCAGTTCTAGTTCAGTTCTAGTTCAGTTCTCGTTCAGTTCTAGTTCAGTTCTAGTTTTCAGTTCTAGTTCAGTTCTAGTTTCAGTTCTAGTTTCAGTTCTAGTTCAGTTCTAGTTCAGTTCTAGTTCAGGTTCTAGTTCAGTTCTAGTTCAGTTCTAGTTCAGTTCTAGTTCAGTTATAGTTCGTTCTAGTTCAGTTCTAGTTCAGTTCTAGTTCAGTTCTAGTTCAGTTCGTTCATTTCTAGGTTCAGTTCTAGTTCAGTTCTAGTTCAGTTCTCGTTTCAGTTCCTAGTTCAGTTCTAGTTCAGTTCTAGTTCAGTTCTAGTTCAGTTCTTAGTTCCCCCCTCCCCCCCCCCACCCCCCTGTTCTAGTTCAGTTCTAGTTCAGTTCTAGTTCAGTTCTAGTTCAGTTCTAGTTCAGTTCTAGTTTCAGTTCTAGTTCAGTAGTTCTAGTTCAGTTCTAGTTCAGTTCTAGTTCAAGTTCTAGTTCAGTTCTAGTTCAGTTCTAGTTCAGTTCTAGTTCAGTTCTAGTTCAGTTCTAGTTCAGTTCTAGTTCAGTTCTAGTTCAGTTCTAGTTCAGTTCTAGTTCAGTTCTAGTTCAGTTCTATTCAATATTTTCTTTATAGAAAATATTTAATTTCTTTTATGTTCTATGTTTTCTTTATAGAAAATATTCTTTGTTTTCTGTACAAAAGATATTATTTTGGTATTATCAAAATCAAACAAGTCATTCGTGAGAATTGAACCTTCAAAGCACACCCCCCAAGTTTGATAAACTAACACAGAAACAATCAACTAGTTAACAGTTAACCTCTACTCTATGGCAAAACCCTTAATAAAATTTATAGGTCAAACATTAAATCAGATTAATGTAAAGATTGTCCAATTAGTCCTAAATAAACAAAACCATTTGACAGACAGCAAACTCTAATCAATCGATTTAAGGACAAACAAATTTTATTACTATAACAACAACTAATTTATTCATACATATAAATATTTATGTTTTTATTTTGAAATATGTGTATTTATTAAAAACAAAATAAATTATTTAAATAAACAACAAAACAAACCCAAGACAACAAACATTTTGAAGAAATAACTAAATAAATATTTTTTTATATAAAATAAACAAAGCTTCTTAGGTATAAAATGGCTACAAAAGTATTTTTAAAGCTTAATAGTAAAGTTAATTAAGCCTAAAGCTTTTTTTAAGAAATCAAACAACAACAAAAACACATACTCATAAGTTTTTATTAAGTTAAATTAAGTATGAAATGGAAATAACAAGTGTATCAACCAAAAATAATTAACCAAAAGAAAGCCAATCATTTTACAACAGACATGCCAGAATGAATGAAATAAATTTAATTTAATGGTGGTACTAATTATTATAAAATGCCACCACCAACTACAAAAAAGTACCACCAGGTATTTGAAATTAATCGCACTGCTGGAATTTGTATAATTTAGCACCAAGGGCGACTGTTTTAAATAAAAGATTTTGTTTCACTTTTTGAATGATAAATAACCTCTAGACCAGTATACATTTTAATACCAACAAAAAAAAAATAAAGAACTCAAAACCCCAACTCACCAAATCTAAGCTCAAACTCATTTAAAACCTTAACAAACAAACCACCAACCAAACCAAATCAACCAACAATAACCTTGTAACCTTTTTGAAATCATGACAAAAACTTTGTATATTTAAAATTTCAGTCACCAGATACTCAGGCCTGGCAAAATGATTATCTTCAAGGTACAGGGTGTGAGATGTATACCGAAACCCTATCACCTTCATTTACCGGCATGACATTTCCACAAGCCAGCGAGTAAGACCCTCTTAGAGATGATTTGTTCTTCAATATTTTTTTCGTTTTTTTAACTCTCTATATATGCATATACATTTGTTCCTACTACAAATTTTTTTATCTCAATTAAACAAAACTCAAATACATAAATACTTACAAAACAAACTAAATAAATAATATTTATTAAAAGCAAAAGTTTAAATTAAATGAAAACAATTAAAAGATTTGTTTGTTTTAATTTTTTTTAACAAATTAGTGTAAATAACTACAGTTTTTTTTCTCCCTTTTGAAATTATTACTAATTTGATTAACAAAAAAAAATCACCATTTAGAAACTAATGAATGATTTATTTACTTACTTATTTATTAATTATTAATAATATACAGTGTGTGGTCTAAGTTTACGACACACGAAAAAGTCTATTTTTTATTATATAAGTAACAGACTTTTTAAATACTTATTAATTCTTTAACAATTAAATAAAATTTAAAAAATAATAATCGAAAAAAGTATTTGCTATGTTTGAAAACTTTGGCTACACACTGTATATTTTATACCCTACACCAGCCGTGAAAAATTCAGTACTTTGGCAGTTTTTCATATCGAAAATAACCACGATACCCCCCACGACATTTTCGGTACTTTTTCAAAGTTTATAAACTTTTCGACAAGTAGCCAACAGATCAGTCCATATTCTATTACATAGCCTAGTCTACAGTGTAGGTCCATTATTTTATTACATGGTCATAGTCGATAGTCAAGTTTATAGGCTATATTTGTCTAGTCTATAGTCCAAGTCTATAGTCAAGCTATAGTCTAGTCTATCGTCTAGTCTATCGTCTAGTCTAAGTCTAGTCTATAGTCTAGTCTATAGTCTAGTCTATAGTTCCCTAGTCTATTAGTTCTAGTCTATAGTTCTAGTCTATAGTCTAGTCATAGTCTAGTTCTATAGTCTAGGTCTATAGTCTAGTCTATAGTCTAGTCTATAGGTCTAGTCTATAGTCTAGTCTATAGCTCTGTCTATAGTCTAGTCTATAGTCTAGTCTATAGTCTAGTCTATATTCTAGTCTTATAGTCTTAGTCTATAGTCTAGTCTCTTATAGTCTATGTCAGTCTATAGTCTAGTCTATAGTTCTGTCTATAGTCTAGTCTATGTTAGTCTATAGTCTAGTCTATAGTCTAGTCTATAGTCTAGTCTATAGTTAGTCTATAGTCTAGTCTAAGTCTAGTCTATAGTCTAGTCTATGTCTAGTCTATAGTCTTAGTCTAGTTATGTCTAGCTATAGTCTAGTCTATAGTCTAGTCTCTAGTCTAGTCTATAGTCTTTAGTCTATAGTCTAGTCTATAGTCTAGTCTATAGTCTAGTCTATAGTCTAGTCTATAGTTAGTCTATAGTCTAGTCTATAGTCTAGTCTATAGTCTAGTCTATAGTCTAGTCTAAGTCTCAGTCTATAGTCTAAGTCTAGTCAAGTCTAGTCTATAGTCTACGTCCTATAGTTCTAGTTAAGTCTAGTCTAAGTCTAGTCTATAGTCTAGTCTATAGTCTAGTCTATAGTCTAGTCTTAGTCTAGTCTATAGTCTAGTCTATAGTCTAGTTCTATAGTCTAGTCTATAGTCTAGTCTATAGTCTAGTCTATAGTCTAGTCTATAGTCTAGTCTATAGTCTAGTCTATAGTCTAGTCTATAGTCTAGTCTATAGTCTAGTCTATAGTCTAGTCTATAGTCTAGTCTATAGTCTAGTCTATAGTCTAGTCTATAGTCTAGTCTATAGTCTAGTCTATAGTCTAGTCTATAGTCTAGTCTATAGTCTAGTCTATTGTCTTGTCGATAGTCTAGTCTATAGTCTAGTCTATAGTCTAGTCTATAGTCTAGTCTATAGTCTAGTCTATAGTCTAGTCTATAGTCTAGTCTATAGTCTAGTCTATAGTCTAGTCTATAGTCTAGTCTATAGTCTAGTCTATAGTCTAGTCTATAGTCTAGTCTATAGTCTAGTCTATAGTCTAGTCTATAGTCTAGTCTATAGTCTAGTCTATAGTCTAGTCTATAGTCTAGTCTATAGTCTAGTCTATAGTCTAGTCTATAGTCTAGTCTATAGTCTAGTCTATAGTCTAGTCTATAGTCTAGTCTATAGTCTAGTCTATAGTCTAGTCTATAGTCTAGTCTATAGTCTAGTCTATTGTCTTGTCGATAGTCTAGTCTATAGTCTAGTCTATAGTCTAGTCTATAGTCTAGTCTATAGTATAGTCTATAGTCTAGTCTAGTCTATTGTCTTGTCGATAGTCTAGTCTATAGTCTAGTCTATAGTCTAGTCTATAGTCTAGTCCATAGTATAGTCTATAGTCTAGTCTATAGTCTAGTCTATAGTCTAGTCTATAGTATAGTCTATAGTCTAGTCTATAGTCTAGTCTATAGTCTAGTCTATAGTCTAGTCTATAGTATAGTCTAGTCTATAGTCTAGTCTATAGTCTAGTCTATTGTCTTGTCGATAGTCTAGTCTATAGTCTAGTCTATAGTCTAGTCTATAGTCTAGTCTATAGTCTAGTCTATAGTCTATAGTCTAGTCTATAGTCTAGTCTATAGTCTAGTCTATAGTCTAGTCTATAGTCTAGTCTATAGTCTAGTCTATAGTCTAGTCTATAGTCTAGTCTATAGTCTAGTCTATAGTCTAGTCTATAGTCTAGTCTATAGTCTAGTCTATAGTCTAGTCTATAGTCTAGTCTATAGTCTAGTCTATAGTCTAGTCTATAGTCTAGTCTATAGTATAGTCCTATAGTCTAGTCTATAGTCTTGTCCATAGTCTTGTCTATAGTCTAGTCTATAGTCTAGGTTATAGTCTAGTCTATAGTCTAGTCTATAGTCTAGTCTATAGTCTAGTCTATAGTCTAGTCTATAGTCTAGTCTATAGTCTAGTCTATAGTCTAGTCTATAGTCTAGTCTATAGTCTAGTCTATAGTCTAGTCTATAGTCTAGTCTATAGTCTAGTCTATAGTCTAGTCTATAGTCTAGTCTATAGTCTAGTCTATAGTCTAGTCTATAGTCTAGTCTATAGTCTAGTCTATAGTCTATATAGTTGTTTTCCTTTCCTTTTATGATCTATCCCATTGTGCGACAGTCTATCCATTAATATACATATATTATATTCTTCTGAATAAGTTTTAAAGATAATTGAATGAAATTCGACATAAATTCTTCGATTCCAACAAGAACGATACCTGGATCCCGCACTAATTCTCCTACAGACAATATTCTAAATGTCCACAATTATCTTATAAACAGTTTCATATGAACAAAAATGCTCTACAATTTTTTTTAATTGGTCCTTTTTTGACTCAGTCCCCTTCAGAAAAAAATTTTTTTATATAATTACTTTTATTAATAAAAAAGAACAACTTTAAAATATACTTATAACTGGTGTAGGGTACATTATAGTCGGTTATGGCCGGCTATATTTTCTTACTTGTTTTTATTTTTCTTAATGTAGATGGAATGGAATGCATATTTGGTTATATTTATCTAATAAACAAATGAAAACTAACTAACACTGCAACGTAATGTAAAAACCGACAAATATTTTCAAAAACAACAATAGCTAATATCCTACACTTTTGATATTGTTTAAGTTACCAACTAACCGCAATCTAATAACCATATAAAAACCCAACAAACAATTCAACCACCTTTTTGACAGCATGTTTTAAATGATTGCAAAATACTTAATAAATTTGTTAACACTTTTTTTCCTAACTTCTATTTAAAACTAATTAAACACTTGTAATTATAGTAAAATAAAGTAGTTTGTAAATACATTTTAATAACTATCTATGTATGTAATGTATGTCATGTCTTGTCCTGTATTGTCATAACTAGTTGTAAAATTAAGAGTAATTTTTGGTAACATCACCGCATGTTTTCTAATTTCTTTTATAATTTTTTTTTTTTAATTTATTTATTATTTCGTTTTTGGCTTCCACAAACTCATGTTGTTTTTGGTATAATTTGCCCGTGTCTAAGGATAATTTTTGGCATGTAGCATGTTTAAGTCTTGCAAATTTTGTTGTTTTGTAGTAAAGCAAATATTTTATTTACAACATTCAGATACATAACTATTTATCTAATAAGTACACTTTTAAGCTTAGTTATTTAGTTTTTTATTTTATGTTGATTTTTGTTTCTAATCTTAAATCTAATATTAATATTTGTTTGTGTTTTTCTCGTTTTTTTCTCTCTCTATTTCGCCCTACATGCTTATTTTGGGGTTTAGATTATGTTTTTCGAAATTAAAACTATTATTGTTGGCAATCGAAATCAAGGGCAATGAAGATGGAGCTGATAGTAAAATCTCTATTAATCCTAGAGGCGCTAAAATTCAAGCTAATACACAAGGATTTTTCATAGCACAAAGTGCAGATGAAGTAAAAAGGTAGGTTGGAAATAATTTAAATTTATGTTTATTTTATAGGAAAGATTGGATTAGGCACTACGCCATGATGCAAGACCTTATGGGCAGTCAATCACAAAGTATATCATATGATGTTTTACTCTGCAATCCAGATATTTTGCTTTCGACATTATTACATCGTCTTGTTATGGTTCTCCGATAGTGAAAAACCTCAGATTTATACCACTTTGGAACACTGAAGAAATGTTATGGTCGGTACTTTTGTGCCGGAATTATTGCCTATGTGGTTTAATTGATATTAAGTTTTAATTTTAGCTAATCAATAATACGTTTTTATGCATAAATCATTTCGTATTTAAAAAAAAATACAAATTTTTATATAATACAATTTTCCTTGGAAAATATAGTCAACTTTGACGCGTTACAGAACCCATTGTATATAAATTTAACAAAATTAGAAGTAATGAATGAAATGAAAGCTTATCATTTCCTTTATTAAAGCTGTAGAAATTATAACAATCTGCTCGTAAGTTGTATAGATATTTACTTATACCTTTCAACAAACAACAGAGCGTATGATTTATATTTAATTATTTTCATATAAGTAAAAATTAAGTATACGCATGGGTGAGAACTTCAACATATTCTTTTAAAGGTTAGATTAGATTGAACGGAGGGTAAATGCTACAAAAGATCAAAAAAAAAAAAAAAAATTAACTAATTCCACTTTCGGGCCTATTGTGCGCTCAATTTCATGAAAACCCTTGGTGGAAAACCTTTTATTTATAGGGATCTATGAAAACATGGACATAGTTCATTAGAATTTGTTAATCAGTATTCCTGAGAGATATGTATATCTGGCATAATATCGGTCAAGTACTTTCGCGGAAAGCACGGCAATGACAGCGTTTCATTGTCCTTTCGTTCAATTTTGTATACTGAACGACAGAAAGTGTATTCGGTTATGGCTCTCTTACACTCTAATACGAATCATTTTACACATTTCGTGATAATACTGACTTCCGCCCAGAAGTTTCCAATTTAGATTTCCAGACCAATTTTTGCTCCAGTTTAGAGCTATCCACGTAAGAACAGTTTGCCGGTAATGTTCCGCTTGACCACGATCTTTGAGATCTTCGTGTTAAAGTTTTTATGCATAAATTCTAAATTTTCAAAAAGATACCAAAAATTTTCCTTGGAAAATATTGTCAACTTTGGTCCGTTATACGATCCATTGTTTATAAATTTAACAAGGTTAGGTTAGATTACTAGGTTAGCTTGCTAGTTTGCGAGTTTACGCAGAGGCCTTGTGGCCCATTGTGATACCCTTAGAATTGTCATTCCCTTATGCTGAGAGAATGGTTTTCCTCCCTAATTTCGTTGACTATTTGGTTCTTGCGTTCTTTGTGAAAACCAGACGGTGATCCTAATAAAACCGACCATGTTTACTAGTGACGCGTCTCTGAGACAGTCTAGATCATGGAATAGAGCTCTACCAAGTTAGAGTAGTCTGTGGTCTTGTATGGCTGGGTAGCGTTGTACCAATTCCACTTCCTCTTCTTCCAAACAGCTTCTACAGTAGCTATAATGTGGGTAGCCCATACGCTCCGACATGTGTCCAATCATACAGTGCCCAGTAATAATACCAGATAGAAGCGTTATCGAGTTCTTACTAAGAGACAAGAGAGTCCTATAGTCCAGTCTCGATATTCTACAAGTGGTGATATTTGACCACCTTAGTTCCGTCTCACGCAAATCCCAGTCATCTATCAATTTTGATAGGGTCGCCAGGGGAGTGATATTCACATCACTTTGCGCAAGGGTTAAGTCTAGGGACGACCCTCTGATTGTGCATTATTTAACAACATTAGAGACAATATTCTAAAAGTTTATAATTTCTTTTATTAATGCTGTAAAAATGATAACAATCTGCTGAAAAGTTTAAAAGTTGTATAGTTATTATCATACAAACCTTTCAACAAACTACGGAGCGTATGATAAATATGTAATTATTTTCATATAAATAAAAATTAAGTATACGACTGGGATGAAAATTTCAACATATTTTTTTACGTTATTACATATTATGAACTATTTCTATAACAAATTTTAAAATTATCCCCCCTTTTTATTACAGAGCGTGGTTCTATTGTAAAGCCTGTCACGAGGATATTAAAGACGAGACTTTAATTAAAAAGTGCAAATGTAAAAACTGTAAGTACACATTTTTCTAAACTCTTCTTTGATTTTTTTTTCGAACTATTACGTTTTCTTTATTACTTACTCTCTCTAAATATTTCATGTATAATTTTATTTTTATAAAAAAATTATAATTTAATTTTTAAGCTCTTTCAAAAATGACTAGAAAAGAACCAAACAAAGAAAAAAAAAAAAAAAAACAAACAAGACTGTTATAAAGTTATTTTTTTTTTAAACTTTAAATTTAAGTAATATAAGCAAAATAAAATAACTATAATATTATACATAATTATGATTTAAAATAAGGTTTTCTTTAAGGTATAACAACAATATTTAAACAAACAATTTCTTTTATAAATTTTTATTATCTTATTATTATGGTTAAACAAAACAAAAACATGTTGGCGTGGCCTTAACTCCTAACAAAACAACAAATAAAAATCACAACTACGTTATCTACTACTACTATTCTACTACCTACTACTACTATTAACCTGCTACAAAATAATATTAAATGAAAATTCTAACAAATCAAAATCAAAAACAAATTTATGAAACACAATTGAATACTCTACTCTTTCTAATTCTACTTTTTTATAATTCAATTTCATTTAATACAAATTGAATCGAAACATTTCATTTCATTTGAAATGTTAACGCCAACTAAACAGTGGCAGTTCAACCCCGGAACAAGTTTGATGATTTAGGTAAATCCGCAAAAGTTAAATTAAAAAAAAAAAACTAATAAAAACTCCAACTTAAAATTCATATTTTTTGTTTGTTAAATAAACAAAACAATTTAAATCTAATTTAAACAACTACTAACCTGTTTTTAACAAAATTAAATGTTTAATTTATTTTTGTAACCCTTTTTAAAAAAAATTGTATATGTTTTACCCACCACTACCACCCCCTCTCTAAACAACTCTACTTGAAAATGTGTTTAAACCATTTCAATATATAAAAAAATATTTTCAGTTTTTTATTTACATAATTATTTTTTCAATATATTAATAATATATTTAATTTTTTCCAATTATAATTATTCTAACTAATATTCTTATTATTGCACCTCCAGTGCTTTTATATTAAAAAAAGAACAAAATATCATTTTGTTTGTGTGTATGTGGTTTTATTTTAAATTTTCTTTTAATAATTTTTGTTGGTTATTTTAAAACTCCTTTATATTGCTTTGAGTTTAGTTTTGTTCTTTTAATGGTCCCCCTTTTCTGCCCTTTGTAAACCTTTTTTAAATTTTTAATAAATTTCCAAATTTTGTAAATTAACATGTTTACCTACTTACGAAAAATTGTTTTCATTTAGTTTTCTTTTTTATTTAAAAACAATTATTTTTAACTTAATTTAAATAAACTTCCAACTGATTACTAAAAACATACGACATCTTAAATAGAGTGTTGGAAGTTCTGTAAATAAGTTTGAGCGTTGTTAATTGTTTAACTTTATTTTGTAATTTTTTAGTTAAAAAGTCTATGACCAAATGAAGAAAATGTATTGAAAACTGTTCGAATAAATAGGTTTTAAAACTAAATAATTTAATTTAACAATTCTATAAGAACTTATAATAACAAAAAGATTTGATTTTAAGTTTTGAAGTACTACAATAATTTTCCGTTAGTCTACAGACTATACTATAGATTAGACTACAGACCAGGCTACAGACTAGGCAACAGACTAGCCTGCAGCCTAGACTATAGACTAGACAAGACTAAAGACTACACAGGACTGTAGACTAGATTAAGTTCTATACTATAAAATATACACTAGACTACAGATTATATTAAAGACTTGACTATAGACTAGATTACAGACTAGACCATAGATTAGACTATAGACTAGACTATAGACAAGACTATAAACTAGACTATAGACAAAACTATAGACTAGACTATAGACTAGAGTATAGACTGGACTATAGACTATACTATAGACTACACTATAGACTAGACTATAGACTAGACTATAGACTAGACTCTAGACTAGACTATAGACTAGACTATAGACTAGACTATAGACCAGACTATAGACCAGACTATAGACCAGACTATACACTAGACTATAGACAAGACTATAGACTAAACTATAGACTAGAATACAGACTAGACTATATACTAGACAATAGACTAGACTACAGACTAAACTATAGATCAGAATACAGACTAGACTAGACTAGAATATAAACTATACTATACTAGACTATAGACTAGACTATAGACTAGACTATAGACTAGACTATAGACTAGACTATAGACTAGACTATAGACTATACTATAGACTAGACTATAGACTAGACTATAGACTAGACTATAGACTAGACTATAGACTAGACTATAGACTAGACTATAGACTAGACTATAGACTAGACTATAGACTAGACTATAGACTAGACTATAGACTAGACTATAGACTAGACTATAGACTAGACTATAGACTAGACTATAGACTAGACTATAGACTAGACTATAGACTAGACTATAGACTAGACTATAGACTAGACTATAGACTAGACTATAGACTAGACTATAGACTAGACTATAGACTAGACTATAGACTAGACTATAGACTAGACTATAGACTAGACTATAGACTAGACTATAGACTAGACTATAGACTAGACTATAGACTAGACTATAGACTAGACTATAGACTAGACTATAGACTAGACTATAGACTAGACTATAGACTAGACTATAGACTAGACTATAGACTAGACTATAGACTAGACTATAGACTAGACTATAGACTAGACTATAGACTAGACTATAGACTGATAGACTAGACTATAGACTAGACTATAGACTAGACTATAGACTAGACTATAGACTAGACTATAGACTAGACTATAGACTAGACTATAGACTAGACTATAGACTAGACTATAGACTAGACTATAGACTAGACTATAGACTAGACTATAGACTAGACTATAGACTAGACTATAGACTAGACTATAGACTAGACTATAGACTAGACTATAGACTAGACTATAGACTAGACTATAGACTATAGACTAGACTAGAGACTAGACTATAGACTAGACTATAGACTAGACTATAGACTAGACTATAGACTAGACTATAGACTAGACTATAGACTAGACTATAGACTAGACTATAGACTAGACTATAGACTAGACTATAGACTAGACTATAGACTAGACTATAGACTAGACTATAGACTAGACTATAGACTAGACTATAGACTAGACTATAGACTAGACTATAGACTAGACTATAGACTAGACTATAGACTAGACTATAGACTATAGACTAATATAGACTAGACTATAGACTAGACTATAGACTAGACTATAGACTAGACTATAGACTAGACTATAGACTAGACTATAGACTAGACTATAGACTAGACTATAGACTAGACTATAGACTAGACTATAGACTAGACTATAGACTAGACTATAGACTAGACTATAGACTAGACTATAGACTAGACTATAGACTAGACTATAGACTAGACTACTATAGACCTGAATATAGACTTAACTAAACAAATCAGTTTCATTCGGTACAAGTCCAAAATTTGATTTTTACGAGAATATAGATTTTTTAGGAAAATTTTGAATTGATTAAAAAATGTATTATTATATAGAAGTTTCAAATAAATTTTCTTTAATTAAACAAAAAAAAAATAGTTCAAGAAATAACCAAATTCGCCAATACTTTTCAATAAATACTTTCTTCAATCCCCTCAAATCTACTTCCTACTTCATTTTATTAACTCCAATTGTTTTTATTTTTTTTTTCCTTTTTTAATTTTCTTTCTTGCAAAATGTAATGAAGCCTGTACATTTTTTTCTGTAAATTATTTTTCTTAAATATGTTTGTCTCTCTTTCTATTTCTCTCTCCAAAACTAATTCGCCATTTTAACTTTTGCTTTAAAAAAAACAAATTCAATTTTTTTTAATGAAAACTTTAAACCTTAACTTCCCCTTTTAAAATCAGAATAATTTTTAAACACACGCTGTATTAATTTGAAAAAAATTAGCTACACACAACAAATTGAAATATAAACTTATTTTTTATTAAAAAAATAACAATAAATTGAAAATTATGTTTTCTTTTGCACCAAACCAAAATAAAAACAAAATTTATTATAATTTTGTTATATATAAAAAAAAAATACTTAAACTACTATATATATTAAACTCTCTCTATATCTCTCACACTCTCTGTTTTTCCTCTCAGTCAATGTCTTCCGAAGTTAAATACATAATTAAATTATTAAAAAAAACAAACAAATAATTGTATTAAAAAATGAGTGCATGGAAACCGATTAATTGCACCAGATACATTTATACTCTTATACTCGTTTATCAAAATATAATCAATAAAAACGTATTCAATTAATTTTAATTATCATCATTATCCAACATTTAATCATATCAATAACAGTTTTTATGAAATATATATTTTAAAGGAAATATACATAATTACTTTTAAAGAATTTAAAAGTTATAAATAAATCCTTAGTAGTTAATTAAGTCAATTGATTATAATAAACACACACTTGTAATAAAGTACAAATCACATTACTTAATTTAAACAAAAAATGTTTAATGTTTAGGTATTAAAGAAAATGTATATTTAAATTAGTACTCAAATTATTAGTTAGGTATTATTTGAAAAATATTGAAAATATTTACAAGAAATTCAAATTAAGAGAAAAATAATATATTTAAATAAGAAATTGGTGTTATTCTGAAGCAAATATTATTTTTATGCAACGTATTTTGTTTATAATCCGAAACTTCGATTTTATATGAAGTATAGTTAGTCTATAGTCTAGTCTAGTCTAGTCTATAGTCTAGTCTATAGTCTAGTCTATAGTCTAGTCTATAGTCTAGTCTATAGTCTAGTCTATAGTCTAGTCTATAGTCTAGTCTATAGTCTAGTCTATAGTCTAGTCTATAGTCTAGTCTATTAGTCTATAGTCTAGTCTATAGTCTAGTCTATAGTCTAGTCTATAGTCTAGTCTATAGTCTAGTCTATAGTCTAGTCTATAGTCTAGTCTATAGTCTAGTCTATAGTTCTAGTCTATAGTCTAGTCTATAGTCTAGTCTATAGTCTAGTCTATAGTCTAGTCTATAGTCTAGTCTATAGTCTAGTCTATAGTCTAGTCTATAGTCTAGTCTATAGTCTAGTCTATAGTCTAGTCTATAGTCTAGTCTATAGTCTAGTCTATAGTCTAGTCTATAGTCTAGTCTATAGTCTAGTCTATAGTCTAGTCTATAGTCCTAGTCTATAGTCTAGTCTATAGTCTAGTCTATAGTCTAGTCTATAGTCTAGTCTATAGTCTAGTCTATAGTCTAGTCTATAGTCTAGTCTATAGTCTAGTCTATAGTCTAGTCTATAGTCTAGTCTATAGTCTAGTCTATAGTCTAGTCTATAGTCTATAGTCTAGTCTATAGTCTAGTCTATAGTCTAGTCTATAGTCTAGTCTATAGTCTAGTCTATAGTCTAGTCTATAGTCTAGTCTATAGTCTAGTCTATAGTCTAGTCTATAGTCTAGTCTATAGTCTAGTCTATAGTCTAGTCTATAGTCTAGTCTATAGTCTAGTCTATAGTCTAGTCTATAGTCTAGTCTATAGTCTAGTCTATAGTCTAGTCTATAGTCTAGTCTATAGTCTAGTCTATGTCTAGTCATAGTCTAGTCTATAGTCTAGTCTATAGTCTAGTCTATAGTCTAGTCTATAGTCTAGTCTATAGTCTAGTCTATAGTCTAGTCTATAGTCTGTCTATAGTCTAGTCTATAGTCTAGTCTATAGTCTAGTCTATAGTCTAGTCTATAGTCTAGTCTATAGTCTAGTCTATAGTCTAGTCTATAGTCTAGTCTAGTCTAGTCTATAGTCTAGTCTATAGTCTAGTCTATAGTCTAGTCTATAGTCTAGTCTATAGTCTAGTCTATAGTCTAGTCTATAGTCTAGTCTATAGTCCTAGTCTATAGTCTAGTCTATAGTCTAGTCTATAGTCTAGTCTATAGTCTAGTCTATAGTCTAGTCTATAGTCTAGTCTATAGTCTAGTCTATAGTCTAGTCTATAGTCTAGTCTATAGTCTAGTCTATAGTCTAGTCTATAGTCTAGTCTATAGTCTAGTCTATAGTCTAGTCTATAGTCTAGTCTATAGTCTAGTCTATAGTCTAGTCTATAGTCTAGTCTATAGTCTAGTCTATAGTCTAGTCTATAGTCTAGTCTATAGTCTAGTCTATAGTCTAGTCTATAGTCTAGTCTATAGTCTAGTCTATAGTCTAGTCTATAGTCTAGTCTATAGTCTAGTCTAGTCTAGTCTATAGTCTAGTCTATAGTCTAGTCTATAGTCTAGTCTATAGTCTAGTCTATAGTCTAGTCTATAGGTCTATAGTCTAGTCTATAGTCTAGTCTATAGTCTATTCTATAGTCTAGTCTATAGTCTAGTCTATAGTCTAGTCTATAGTCTAGTCTATAGTCTAGTCTTTAGTCTAGTCTATAGTCTAGTCTTTAGTCTAGTCTATAGTCTAGTCTATAGTCTAGTCTATAGTCTAGTCTATATTCTAGTCTATAGTCTAGTCTATAGTCTAGTCTATAGTCTAGTCTATAGTCTAGTCTATAGTCTAGTCTACAGTCTAGTCTACAGTCTAGTCTATAGTCTAGTGTATAGTCTAGTCTATAGTCTAGTCTATAGTCTAGTCTATAGTCTAGTCTACAGTCTAGTCTATAGTCTAGTCTATAGTCTAGTCTATAGTCTATTCTATAGTCTAGTCTATAGTCTAGTCTATAGTCTAGTCTATAGTCTAGTCTATAGTCTATTCTATAGTCTAGTCTATAGTCTAGTCTATAGTCTAGTCTATAGTCTAGTCTATAGTCTAGTCTTAGTCCTAGTCTATAGTCTATTCTATAGTCTAGTCTATAGTCTAGTAGTCTAGTCTATAGTCTAGTCTATAGTCTAGTTAGTCTATAGTCTAGTCTATAGTCTAGTCTATAGTCTAGTCTATAGTCTAGTCTATATCTAGTCTATAGTCTAGTCTATAGTCTAGTCTCTAGTCTAGTCTCTAGTCTAGTCTCTAGTCTAGTCTATAGTCTAGTCGACAGTCTAGTCCATATTAATTTTTCTGGCGATAGATATAACCGTTTCGATTATTTTTTCCGTCACTGTATCAATTCCTTCCCAAATATATGACACCATGAACGAATCAAATTATTTTCGGATATCCTATCGATTGATCCAAATAGGTACTTTGAAATCGGACGCTTCAAGATCTGGACTATAGGGTTTCAGATAAAAGTTCTTTTCTGAATAACACCAATTAAAAAAAAAAACTAAACTTGATTTGAATTTCCATTTCCCTGTGTGTATATAAAAACTAATTATTATTAATATTTCTATGTATGTGTAGACATTAAGATAAAACATTTATAATATTTATAGATTTTTTGAGTTCTTAAAGTAGAGAGAAAAAATATTATAATTTTTAATTAAATGTTTAAGCAGGTATTACAATTTATTTATAAAAAATCCTAAACATATCATTAATAATAAATAATCGACAAAATAAATAATAACAAACACACACATTTGCAAGTGTAAATAATAATGTAAATATGTCAAAGTGATAACAGATATATTTAATTTCCCTTTCATCAACCACTTCAAATCACAAAAGAAAAATATGAAAAACATTGTGTAAATAATAAATCATTTCGACGATTTCCAATGTAGTCTTAATAATCATATGACATACATACATACCTACTTATATATATAAATTTATTATATTTAATTAATATAATTTAACTTCTACTAGAGTAGTTAGTCAAAGTTTGTTACTAAAATTTCTGAATTAAGTTCAAAAACAAAATAAAACGCCAAAGCAAAGCCTTATGAATTTTTATATGATTCTGAAGATGTGTGTGTATGTGTATGCCTGTGACAATGGCTTCACTACTAATTTAATTAGTAAAATAAATATACCAACAATAAGAAGTTATAAAAACAAGAGGATTTAGGAGTAAGAAAGGTTCTTAACCCCCTACAGTCCTCTATGTTTGATAGCTATAAAAAAATTTATAAAATTTAAATTGTAACTGACATTTGGTATTGTTAATATAAGCAAGAAAATCTAACAAGAATTCCCCCTTAATAACTTAACTTTTTAAAATCAGCACCAGTTTTGAAAATGTTCATAAAAAATTTTGCAGATGTGGGCATGATTATGATGCAGACCGGAATGGTGAATCAAGGCATATCCTCAGTCATTAACCAAATGGAGGGTACGATTATTAAATACAATTTGTTATAAAACCTATTAATGCATACAAACATATATAAATTAAAAAATTAATTGAAAAAAAACCAAAAATTTTAAATGATAAATATTTGCTAAAAACCAAAAAATCTATCAAAACTTAAAAACAACTATCTCTATAATCCAATCTTCCCCCAATCAAAAAACTTCAACAAATTGTATTAATATTTATTGAAAATAAAGCAAAATATATATCTATCAAATTATATATTCTAAATGCTAACAAATGCTGCTCAATAAAACTTATTTTGTTGCTGCTAACTTTGAAAACTGCTAATTAGTTAACATTTTAAATTAAAGTAAATTATTGCCATAAATAAATTTTTAAAATATTTTTAATATAAATGAAAAAAGTACCTCCTCTTCCTCGGTATATGACAACAATATAAAATGCTACACCTTATAAGAGAACAACACAGATAGAAGGTAAATATTCGGCCGAGACGAATAAATTATATCCTCCACTGTATTATGCAAATTGTTTAGTATTTAGACGCCTAAGTTTATTCTAGAAGTTTCGTTTTTTTAGACGCCTAAAAGTATGCACTACAAATTTTAATCAAATCGTTTAAACCAAGTTTTAGAAGGACGTTTTAAAGGCGATTAATTAATCTCGTATCTCTCCACTATTTCCCGATTCATCTTACTTTGTAATCATTACAGTTCAAAGTTATAGTTCGGCAACCGAATCACTTTCAGAGGCGATTTATTGATGTCTCTTCACTTGTTCGTAGGACCATTTATCCAAAAAAAATATTTTGATTGAAATCGGCCTAAATGTCCCATAGTAATTGTACTTAAATACTGATAAATTTATAATGGTGAAAAAGATAAGTACATGCTAGTTCCAAGATATTATACTATGAAATATAGTGGATCTAGGACCATATATGATCTTTTTCGGAAAGTGGATTCATAATAGATTTAAAAATAATACTAAGAATGAAGTTCGTCATAAACAAGTTCTACTTATGTATAAAGTAATCTCTTTACTGAATTGTATGAGTATCGTTCGATATTTGTTCCACTATCCGATATATATAATTTTCCGTAAAGCTCTCTAAAGCTTATAAGTCTGGATATAATAATGGTATTGTTCGGGAAAATTATTAACTTCAGCATATTTTCTGAAGGTTGGTCCTTTACAGCTGGTATTCCCACTAAATCTTCTCCACGGATTCCGTAGGAGATCTGTTATTTCATCTGGGAATTCTGATATCAGCTCCTGACAATGAAATCGATACACTTTCAGAACATAGTCTATAAAATCATGAGGATCTTCTCAAGGAACTAAGCACTAATTCAGAATAGTCCGGTCGTTTTGTTAGGGCCTCAAATCCGCGCCGAATATCCTAATCATGATTTCAGTTGTCATCCGCATAAGTTATCTTTTCTAAAAAATCATGAGAAATTTGACAATAAAGTGAACGTTATTTGGTAATAGTCCGGTCGGTCCGCATGGACCCGTTAATCTAACGATTTCAGTTGTGTCAGACAACAAGAAACAAGTTGTTTACATAAGATATATGTATCTTTCAAAAATCGAGGACCTTGACAACAAACTAAGCATGAATATGAGCCCATAAAGGGATAAAATTTATTTCTCACAAAAGATCCAAATCGGGTAGTGGTGATAGTGTCCTTATAATCCAATTCAACTTTAAATGTGTCAGTTTTTCTCTTGGTTTCTACAGTTAGTTGGGTTTTGGTATTGGAATGTAAAGAGGTAATAGTTAAAGAGGTCTAATCGATATAACCCAGCAGAATCGTTGTATAACTTTACTGTTGTTTAATTGGAAACATTGGGAGTATTGCTATGCACAGTGGGGCAGAATCGAAATTTTTTGGAAATAAATCTGGCATTTCTAAACGGCTGATCCGATCGGTATAAAATTTGGCGTGGTTTGTGTGGGGTGATTTAGGTGTTGTTGTGCGTGGCTCATAATAAAATTATAATTTTTTTATTGTATATACAATGTTATAGTCTTTAATAAAATAATTAACTAAATAATTTTTAAAAATTGTCCAAATATTTTATTCAACACCAAATGTATGTTCTGTCATACTTAATACTAAAATATGAAAAATATGAAATTAAAGGATACAGGTTTAAATGAACATATTTTTGAATGTAATTGAGATATTGGCTTGAAAATTTTTGTAAAGAATCGAGAATTTCCATATCTAACTAAAAAAAGATATTAAGGGATAAATATGGACTAAATTGTTGCAGCTATCTGAGACCCTATTAAAATTTTGATATAAATCATAGTTTTAGAAATTAAACAAATATGTAATATATGACAAAATCTTTATTTATGAACAAAACTCAATGAAATTTTCAACGCTTGTTAAATTTGTCATTTCAAATAAGAAAATGCAAAAAATCGAAAAGGTCAAAGGGCATCCCGCAATTCCCAAAAATAGGAATGAAAATCCCAAAAAGGGATTTTTTACTTTTTTGCCCATAGGGTCCACATTTCTTTCAGGATTGGGAAAATACTTTTGAAGTAAATAGAAAACATATTGAGGTTTCCAAAACTGCTTTCAGTTTTCTGATCCCAGCTTTGGGATTTTAGAACATGTCGCCCAAAGTTGAAGTTTTGATAAAAAAAAGGTCATATACGAAAGGACGCAGTGGCAACATTTTAAAAAAATAGGACAAGTTTTTTACGCCAAAGCGTTCTGCGTAAAGATACCTTTTAGAAAACTATAAAATTGTTATATGTTCTTAAAGAAAATTTTATTTTATTAATAAAAGAGTTAAGACACATTTTTGGCAAAAAAACGGCAAAAATCTAAAATTTTTTGAATTTTTAAATTAAAAAAAGTATATTTTTGGATCTGTAAATGATATTGATCTGAAATTCTTTGTATATTATTGGAAATTTTGTTGTCTAACTAACAAGAAAAAATTGAGTCCATTTGGTCCAAAATTACGCCCGGTATTCAAAAAAAGGCGGACCAAGGTATGGTAAATTTTGTATCACTAAATTTTTAAATGCCTATAACTCGGATATTATAATAGATAAGTAGTATGTCCAAGCATGTTTTTTTCAAGATCTCGTCGAGCGCTTCCAGAAAATATAATTGTATTTGGATGAAAAACAAAAAAATGGCACGAGTTTAAAAATTTTACATGTCGTAGGTACCCTACTTTGTGCCGCCACAGCATCTGCGGGGTTCATCTTCAAAACTTAAACTCGAATACTCCTTGGCTACGCTCACGCCAAATTTTATACCAATCGGATCAGCCGTTTAGAAATGCCAGATTTATTTCCAAAAAATTTCGATTCTGCCCCACTGTGCTATGTACCTGTAGTCCTTTCATTACGAAACTCTATTCAATATAAATCTGTAAATCAATGTAACATATTTCGTTGGTGTACACAGAGGGAAAATGAAATATACAAATTGACACCAAACTGTTTATAATTTTTCAATACCATCCGTTGTCAAAGTATATACATACGTACGACAACACTATGTATTGTTCACTATATTGCAACAATTCATTGTCGCAATCTAAATTTTAAACACATCCGTTGTCTTAATATTAACAAACGTGGTAAGCTCACTATTGACAAACAATCCGTTGCCAATAGTGAGCTTACCACGTTTGTTAACATTTAGACAACGGATGTGTATAAAATTTAGATTTCGATAACGAATTGTTGCAATGTTGCCAACCTTGCGATGTCAACATTACATAGTGTTGTCGTACGTATGTGTGTATATACTCTGACAACGGATGTTATTGAAAAATTATAAACTCTTTGATTTCAATTTGGTACCAGTCGTGTATATTTCCTTTTCCCTCTGTGTAGCTACGTAAGTTCAAAAATCTCTTTTAAAAGAATATTATATCAGACGATGGTGTACGGACTCGGGTTTAAACAATCAAATCTGACTTAAAAGCATAACAAAGGTGGAGAATATAAAAACTATAATTCAATATATGTATAAGCATATTTTTTTTTTTTAACTAGGTTCCAATATTTCGACCCAATGTTATCATATAAAAACCAAACATTTAAAGAAACACGACAGAAAACGCCAGCCAACTAAACCACCAAAAAAAAAAAAAATATAATTTTATAAATAAAAAATTTGTGTTTTTAAAATATTTAGTAAAAAACCCAACAAATCTTAAGTTATAAATTGTTTAAACTAGGCTTAGACAAAACAAATTTAGGTTCATATAACGTAAATTGTGTTTTAATTTTTTTTTTAGTTTTTGTTTAACTGAGTTTATGTTTAATATTTTAAATGTTTCATTTATGTTGTTTATAATTAATTTATATTTATTCATTTCACATATTTCAAAAACATTTTATAAATTTATTTGTTTTTCTATTAAAGAAATATAATAAGAAAGAAAACAACAAATCATGTTAATGAATTTACTCATTTACCTATTCACACAAATCCTCTATAACATTTATTTTATTTAATGACCCCTACTACCACCTACCAACCTACTACTACTACTACTACAACTCAATCAACTACAGTGGCCACATTCAGGAAAGGCGTCCGAGCCGTACAAATGGTAGGACGTGCAAGTACGTATAAATTCCAAATACAAAATTCATTAAAAAAAATTGTTTAATCGAAAAGAAATTACATATTTTTTTTGTCAACTATCAATCAAACCACAAACAACAACACACGCCTAAAAGCCTACACTAACATTATCTATAACTCTATCTGTTTCTCTTAACTTAACAACAGTGACATAATCACAAACACAATACTCTCTCTTTCTCTAACTACCTCCAAGTCATAAACACCCCCAACAGCAACTCATTTCAAACACTAAAGCAATAATTTAATTGTCACAATTAAATTCTTTAATTAAATTAATTGTGTCAATTAAATTATTAAAAATATTATATTTTTATTTTTTAATGATATCCTCACTACCACAAAAACAAATTATCAATATCAAATCCTTACGATTCT